ACTAATTTTATGATTTATTAGTTTTGTAGACATGTACATATGTTTAAAACTTAATAATACTCGATTTTTACTTAAAGTGGTTTTAATGATATTATCTGAGTTTGATTATCATTAAAGATAATAACCGCAGAAAAAAAAATTGTAATTTTTCGGCAATGTCACCGACGAGATACTATTAAAAACCGATATCCTTACGAGATATTCTTGTGAATATTGAAATAATTAAGAGTTAAAAACTAGAAATATTGTACTAATTTTATGATTTATTAATTTAGTGGACGTATTTATGCAATTAGAACTCAATAACATTCGATTTTTCTTTAAAATTTTGATTTTAGTGCTATCATCAAAGTTTGAATATCAACAGAGATGATAACTGCAGAGAAAAAATTGTAATTTTTCTGCAATACATAGAATATTATAGCTTTGCAACTATGTATATTTATTTATGGAACATTTATGTAATAAAAAAATCATGAATTTAATAATGTATGAATCAAATATTTATGTTAATAATAGCAAATTTATATCAATTGTCGATAATGTCGATAATATCTCGTCGGTGCCTCAGGTGACAGTTTTACATGTCAGAAAAAGTGAATTTTTTTTATTTTTTTCTCATTTTCTTGTGAAATTATGTTTTTTAGGTTTTCTTTTTATGCATTCTTTAATTCTGAAAAAAAAATTTTGCAATCTGCGAAGCCAATTCGGAGATTTCTCCTAAAATGTAATCGTGGTGAAACAGGATAATTTTAGGAGCCCCTTAACGATTGCCTATGCATAAATAATTATTTAAAAAAATTTTTTTGTTAAATTTTTAATCTTTTCGTAGCATTAATTTATACAAAAATATATTAAACTATGTATATACATATATTAAACACTATATATAATATATATATATATATATATATATATATATATATATGTGTGTCATTTAATAATTCTTTCAAAAAATTTAAAGTGAAAATAAAACTTTCATTTCAAGTATTTTTGTTTTAATTGTAATTACTAGTTTATATTTTTGTAAAATAATACGTAATTAACGTACAGGTTTCGTGACGAATACCAGAGTTACTCATGCTACTCCGGCACCGCTTTATGCTCACTGTGCAAATCGCAGGTGGGAGTGCGAATCCAAAATGCCTAAAAACGTTACTGGCTGTAAAGATATCGCTAGACAATTAGTGGAGAATGAACCGGGGAAAAATATTCGAGTAAACAAAGAACAAACTGTGTACTTTGTTTAATTACGAGAATAATACAATAAATAATAATACGTTTATCTTTTTATAGGTAATTATGGGTGGTGGTAGACAGGTGATGAAATCTAACGTGAGCGCGAGCGAATTTGATCCAATAGATACGTGGGCTTGCTACAGACAAGACGGTCGTGATCTCATTAATGAATGGATGAGAGATAAGTCTGATAGAAATTTAGCTTATAAAGTCGTGGAAAACAATGAAGAATTGTCCCGGGTTGATATTGATAACGTAGATTATCTGCTAGGTATTTTCGCCAACGGTCACATCGCGATGGACTGGGAACGAGAACGAGGTCCGAAGGGACAACCGAGCTTAGAAGAAATGACTGTGATGGCTTTACGAATTTTACAAAAATCCAAACAAGGATATTTTTTAATGGTACAATTATTATCTTAGATAAGATTATAAAAGAAATTAATATAACTGCTCTTCCAGGTCGAAGGTGGTCTAATCGATTTCGCTCATCATCGCGGTCATGCCGCTCAAGCGCTGTTAGAAACTGTCCGATTGTCGGACGCCGTTAATACCACTCTTAGAATGATCGACCTCGATGACACTCTCGTAATAGTCACGAGCGATCACACGCAGTCAATGATCTTTAACGGATACAGTCCTCGAGGTTCATCTATTCTGGGTAAGATCAATGCATTGAAAGAAGGGTGTTTAGTATTTGTAATTATAACGGTTATATAATTATAACCATTACTAGTTATCAATTTTTAAAAGTAACTCGTTACAGTTACCGTTACTTGAGAAAGTAACTTTTCCGTACTTTTTTAAAATCGACGACTACCAATCACAGCGGACGAGTGCTTAGAGGTTTTCTATTCTCAAGTTATGAGTGGCTTGTGTCCATCAACCGAACCGTGTCCAATAATGTGCAAAGTAACGATAAAAGTAACTGTAAAATTCATTACCTTTACCAAAAAAATTATAACTACGTTACCCTTACAGTTAGTAAAACAAAAGTAACGCAGTTACCAGTGATGTTACCAAAAAAGTAACTTGTAACTGTAACGAGTCATTTCCATTCCCTGATTATATTTGCAGTTTTATATATATACCAAAAATATGTTGTTGGCTGCAAAACCTAATAATTTATTACATAATCTTTTTATTGTCAATTATATACAATTATTTTTTTTTATGCAGAACTGTATAAATATAATTATTTTTACTAACATTATAGCAGTAATAATTATAAAAATGAAACTGTTAGCCATAATTATTTTATCTTGATTATACAATAAAAATGGGACTTCTAATTACTATTATTGTAATTATATAAGGAAGCTCTATTTAAGTCACAAATGTCAAATACTTTTTTTTCAGTGTGTGTATAAAATTTTCTCGGACCGTTTATTCTTATGCGAGAATATTTCAGGAATCGCTCAAAAATCTAAATACGACGGGACACCGTATACCACATTATCCTACAGCACGGGTGGACCGAACAATGTCGCTTACATTGTGGACAATGACGGTCAAGCCAAGAGAATTAATCCATCCAAATCGAACACTAGCGATTTTACTTATAGCCAGCAAGCTACAATCATATCGGACGAGGCTCATCACGGCGGTGGAGATGTAGTTGTATACGCTATAGGTACGTCAATGTTTAATTAATTGTTACGAAAGATTGCAGTTAAAAAATATACCTAAAATATATTTTTTTAATTATTGGATAATTTCTTTCCAAATTTAATTCGACAAATATATCGCTAAAGATAATTCATCATATCACTATTGTTTTGTCAAAATTATGTCGAAATTAATTGTGCAAACAGTTATCAATATTTTAGAAAAGATCAGAGTTCTACATTTGTTTTTATAAATATATTCGTATAATTGCAGATTACAAATTTTATGAAAGATTTCGTCATATAATTTCATAAATGTTATCCTATCGAAATTAGGTGCAGAACACAAAGTAACAGTAATATCATATCAATATTATTATAATTTTCCACTTAGCTATTAATATAAATGCAATATAACACATATTGTACATAAAGTTACATTAATAGGAAATTGTAACAATGATATTATTGTTAGTTTGTATTCTGCGGATTTAAACAAATTGACTCTAGTTTTAAATACTTTGAATTTTCTTTACAGGACCGTATGCCCATCTTTTCCACAGCGTGCACGAACAGAACTATGTTGCGCATGTTATCGCATATGCTGCAGGAATCGGCGAGTATTCTAACAATGCGGAAATATCGCACCGCATTCTATATCCAGTTGTTTTATATAGTAGTCTGATCTTATTAACTTTCGTGTATAAATAAATCAGAAGTTAATAAAAGTATTATCAGTTTTTTATTTTTCACAAAAATCAATATCGATATGATTGCTAAAGGCGTGAATCTATACGCATAAAATAACTCTTATCATGTGTAATTAAGTGGTATTGCAAGTGCCTGTGAAATATCACTTGTACCCACATCATCACAAATTAGAGTAACTTTCAATGGCCACATCAGGGTCCTATCCGTTTCTTCTTGTCGTAACAAATCGAGAGACAGTTTTACAAATCCACCTTTCGCGTTATATACATATACATATATCACTCGCACGTTTATTTACAAACATATATTAAAAAATAATTCTCAGTCTTATGCTGCAGAGGATAAAAACACTCGCAATACTTGCGTCGTGAAGTCGTAGAATGCAAACAGTCCTCCGAGATTACGTTTGAGAACAATCAAGATTGTGCTTTCGCTTAAAAATACGTTATTGCACTTATACATCATATATAGTTTATAAAAATGTCTTCTTTACAGTATATTCTACACATTTACGCGATTCCAGCTTAATGACTTTAACAAGTATAAAAAAGAAAGAATACATATATGAAACCGATGATCGGAAACGTTAGGTGAAAAAGGAAGGGCTACGTTAAGATGGAAGAAGCTATCGGAGTTTTACCAATGCGAACGCGTTAACATATGTTAATGTTCTGTCGGTTATGCACAGAAGGTAACATTTGATGCCGTGTACCATGACGAAACACGCGAACTCCGAATGCGGAGTCTTCTCTGGTCCTTCTATTGTTTTTAGATGATGAAGCAACGGTGAAAACGGCGGAAGATCACTGCCCTCTTTTTCTCTCACAATTCTTCATGCCGTACAACATAGCACCGTGTAACAGTATTTTAAGCGCGATACCACCGAGAAAGAGCACCGAGGTGACTAGGAAGATGAAACCAGGGGTATACTTGCCAAAAATCGTCAAACTACATAGGGTCGTCATTTGAAAGACGAGTAGCAACGGAACAAAATACACGGCCGCAGTTAAATAGCATGAGTGCTTGCGCTTCGGCTTTTTAAACCTGTTGAACCTTGCGGCAAGTTTAGTAAAGTCGTTATTCACTTCCGGAATTGCTTTTTGCACTTCGGCTGGTTTCTCGATAAGGATTTCATGCAGCACAGATAAACGCAAATTCTCGTACGTGACCAGGAGATTGATCGTGATCTCCTGAAGAAAATAGCTGAGGTAAACGTGCACCTTGCGCGCTAGAGGATGCGACTTGGAATTATCGAAAGAGTAGAGAAGATATGGTAACAAGTTGAGATTCTGACAACAATGGCGGATCTTCTGCATCGATGCGTGCCGGAATAGCATTGGTGGCCCGCTGTAATTTCCATCTGTCATTGAGAGAGAAAAGAATACTTAATCAGTACGATATTACGTAGTTACTATCATTCACGAACTAAAAAAGTTTTTATTACATGGTATTCCAACTACATAATTTTTTGCAAAAAGAGTGAAACCGTTGAGATATTATTGGATAAATATGTCTCCCATCAAAAAGAGGGTTTTAAAAATTATAATTCGATTTAATAAAAGAAACATCTAAAAAGAGTATTTAAAATTATAATTCGATTCATAAGATTCTTGCACGTACAAACCTAGATAATGTGGAACGTTCCAGTAATAATACTGCTGGAATGTTCCATGTTATTTAGGAAAAACGAGCTGGGACTGAGAAAAAGATAATGAATGCGAATGTTTTGTTTATTTACCCTTAAACATATCGGACACTCGTCTAACGAGAGTTGGTTTCCCCTTTAGGCCATCTTTCTGCTCCATGATCTCAGACGTCTGTGACATTTTAGCACGATGTTCGGAGAATATGTTTAATACCTATCTGTGATCAGAGATCGATGCTGTTTTTCTGTCTTCACGTAAAGTTTTCTTCCCTCAGGGAATATACTCGGAATATCACCTGGAAAAGATAAGCGCATTAGTGAATATAAACCTAATTGCTTTTTGCACTTGAAAATATTATATTATTATGTAAAGTATTTAGTGATGACTATATAAAAAAAATTATGTAAGTATAGAAAAAAATTAATAATTGATTAATAATTGTCGCTAAGAATAAAATGCATATACTTACAGAATAGAAACATAAATTAAATAAATGAGATTAACGAACAAAATTAATCTATTACCGATCTTTGGTGACAACTTTTAATGAAAGTCACCAGTGAGCGTTTCGATCAGTACTGAAAGATTCTCGTCATTCGTACTGTCGAAGTTGTATAGTTTATAAAAAGGCGTCACGATTCGATAGCCTGTCGACCCGAGATTAATTTTTCGACGCAAAAATTTCTCATGACTTAACGATCGCAAGAAATATGCAAAAATCGTTTGTCTAATTAAAAAATGTTTTTTATTGAAATTGTTAGATAAACTATTTTTAAAGCCTTCAATCTTATATTACATCTTACACTGAAAACTTATAATTATTGACTAAAATGTTTAGTATTTTAAACTTACACGACAAGAACGTTTTGCTAAAGTATCTAAAAATTTAGCTAGACAAAAATCTGAAAACGATTTTGTTGAACTATCAAAATAATTATACATATATGTATATAGGACGTTCAAACTGATTGCTAAAATGTAAAAGCTTTTAACAACAGTTATTTGTTAAAAACGAATTAGTTAAAATAAATTGTATTTTAAATCATACTTTTAAATATATATATATGTATAT